AAAAAAAAAAAAAAAGTCAGCTGTTATTCTTCTATTTGGGGGACAAAAATCAACCTCTGACTCCCAGGCTCAAGTGATTCTCCTGCCTCGGCCTCCCGACTAGCTCCCGAGTAGCTGGGACTACAGGTGGCCACCATCATGTCTGGTTAATTTTTTGTATTTTTGTAGAGACGGGGTCTCACCATGTTGGCCAGGCTGGTCTCGAACTCCTGGTATCAGGTGATCTGCCCACCTTGGCCTCCCAAAGTGCTGGGATTACAGGTGTGAGCCACCACACCCAGCCTCTACTGCTGTTTTTAAAGAAAGGGTGGATCCATATATATGTGTGTATATATATACATGTGTATATATGTGTATATATGTATATATGTGCATATGTATGTGTATATATGCGCATATATGTATATGTGCATATATGTATATGTATATGTGTCTGCGTGTATATATGTATATATGTACATATGTATATATGTATTTGTATACATGTATACATGTGTGTATATATGTATATACATGTATTGTGTATATATGTATATGCATGTATAGATGTGTATATATATGTATATGTATACATGTATACATGTGTGTATATATGTATATACATGTATTGTGTATATATGTATATATGCTTCCCCCCCTCCTCACCTCCTTCCACTCCCTCTGGGCCTCCACCTCATCGTCATCGTCCTCCTCATCTTCATCCTCCAGCACTTGGTGCTCCTGCGTGAAGGGCACGGCAGAGGCGGAGAGGAAGCGCAGGCGGTAGAGCAGCCGCACCCACTGGCCGAACTCCCGGTCTCGGGTCTCGAGTGGGGCGCGCAGTCGCAAGTAGAAGGTTCGGCTGGTGTTCAACTTGACCTCGAGCTGACACCGGCTTTCATCATGGACAAAGAGCTGGACGAACTTCAAGGGGAACAGCCTGGGTGGGAGGAAGCAGCAGACTCAGGTTCTGACCATGTTGGGTCTTCCTGCACCATCGGGGTCAGGGGTCCCCACCTTGCCACGCCTCCCTCTGCCCCAGGAATCCCTTTCCACTTTCATTGCCTCTTGAATTTGAGTCCATTCCCAACTTTCTTCCAGCCACGTCTCCTTTTTGTCTCCCACTAGTCCTCTCCCCTAAACTCCAGACTCAAATGTACAACTGCCTACTTGAAATTTCCATCTGGGGCCGGGCGCGGTGGCTCACACCTGTGATCCCAGCACTTTGGGAGGCCGAGGCGGGTGGATCACCTGAGGTCAGGAGTTCGAGACCAGCCTGGCCAACATGGCAGAACCCCACTACCTGCACGCCGAGGCTCTAAGTTTTGTGATTGTTCTAGCAGAGATT